ACCAATCAGGGATGGGCCAGTGTTTTCTCCTGATCAGCACCGCTTTACTGGAGCCTCTAGTGGGGGAGGGAGGCTCCCCCGCTTGCTCCAGCCTGCCAATTCCTTTGCTGGCTGCTGCCACCAAGACAGAGGTGGCAGGTTCCTCAGCCCTGCTCGGCTGAGCTGGCTGGGGTGCCACTTTTCCGGTATCACTGTGGTATCATAGCTCACAGCAACCTCAAACTCCTGGGCTCAAGTGATCCTCCTGCCTCAGCCTCCAAAGTACCTGGGACTACAGGCACCTGCCACTATACCCTGCTAGTTTTTCTCTCTGTCATTTTAAAATTTTTATATGATGTTCTATTTTATTAATTCAAATCTTTTTCTTTTCATAATTTAAAAGTTCTTCTTTCTTCTCAAAATGCAAATGGTTGCAATGGAAAAATAATAATGGAAGGTAGAAAGAGAGTGAGTTCCAAGGATGTCTTGCAGTACAGATTGTAACTTTTGGGGAGTTTGACCACTCAAGGCACAATTTTCTGAGCATTGTCCATTACCTGCCGGTGCTCTGGTAGTTTTTCTCTTTTTAGTAGAGACAGGGTCTCAATCTTGCTCAGGGTGGTCTCAAACTCATGAGCTCCAGTGATCCACCTGCCTTGAACTCCCAAAGTGCTAGGATTACAGGCATGAGCCACTGCACCTGGCCTATCAAACTCTTAGAGGAAACCATAGTAGATATCACTGCACACTTATTAGAATAGCTAAAACAAAAAATATTGACAACATCAATATGCTGCCCAAGATGTGAAGTAAGTGCAGCTCTCATATATTGCTGATGGGAAAGTAAAATATACAGTAAGTCTGGAGAACAGTTTGGCAGTTTTTCATAAAGTTAAGCAAAGTTACCACATCACCCAGCAATCCCACTTTTAGGTAGTTACTCTAGAAAAACGAAACTTATGTTTACACAAAAAGCTATACCTAAATGTCAGGGCAGCTCTATTAATAAATCACCTCGGGCTCAGCGCCTGTGGCTCAAGTGGCTAAGCCTCCAGCCACATACACCTAAGGTGGTGGGTTCAAATCCAGCCTGGACCCGCCAAACAACAATGACGGCTGCAACCAAAAAATAGCCAGGCGTTGTGGTGTGCTCCTGTGTTCCCAGCTACTTGGGAGGTGGAGGCAGGAGACTCGCTTGAGCCCAGGAGTTGGAGGTTGCTGTGAGCTGTGATGCCACGGCACTCTACCCAGGGGGACAGCTTGAGGCTTCTGTCTCAAAAATAAATAAATAAAATAAATCACCTTGAACTAGGAAAAAAAAAACCCAAAGATCCTTCCCTTGTTGAATGGATAAAAAAAACGTGGTACATCCATACAATAGAATGGAACGCTCTTCAGCAACAAACATGATTGAAATACGGATACACGGAACAACTCAGATGAATCTCAAAGGCATTATGCCGAATCCATGAAGACTGTAGAAAAAGATTACATATTTTATGTGCTGAATGTTTTTGTTGCCCCCCTCCCAAATTCATATGTGGAAGTACAAATCCTTAATATGATGGAGGTGGGGTTTTGGGGAGGCAATTAGGTCATGAAGGTAAAGTCTTCATTAATGGGACTGGCGTTCTTATAAGAAGAGATACAAGATTACAGGTGCAGTGGCTCACACCTGTAATCCTAGTGCTCTAGGACGCTGAGGTGGTTGGATTGCCTTAGCTCAGGAATTCAAGACCAGCCTGAGCAGGAGCAAGACCCTGTCTCTACTAAAAATAGAAAAACTAGCTGGGCACAGTCGTGCACACCTGTCGTTCCAGCTACTTGGGAAGATACAGCTGGAGGAATGCTCAAGCCAAGAGCTTGAGGTTGCTGTGAGCTATGACACCATGACACTCTACCCAAAGAGACAGAGTGAGACTGTGTCTCAAAACCAACCAACCAACCAACAAGGAAGAGACACAAGAGAGAAGAGCTCTCTGTGGCCAAATGAAGATACATGGAAAGGCAGCTACAAGCCAGGGGAATGGACCCTCACCAGCCTCCAGAACTGTGAGAAATAAATGCTTGTTGTTTAAGTCACCAGCCTATGGCATTTTGTTATAGCAGCCCAAATAAAGGGACTTTATGATTCCATTTATATGAAATTCTCAAAAAAGACAAAACTGTAGCTATAGAAAACAGACCAGTGGGTGCCAAGGGTAAGGGGCTGGGGAGCCAGGAGAGTGTGATTCTAAAGGCACAGCACAGGGGAGTTTTTTTTTTTTTTTTTTTTTTTGAGACGGAGCCTCAAGCTGTCCCCCTGGGTAGAGTGCCGTGGCATTACAGCTCACAGCAACCTCCAACTCCCGGGCTCAAGCGAGTCTCCTGCCTCCGCCTCCCAAGTAGCTGGGACCACAGGCGCCCGCCACAACGCCCGGCTATTTTTTGGTTGCAGCCGTCATTGTTGTTTGGCGGGTCCAAGCTGGGGATTCGAACCCGCCACCTTAGGTGTACGTGGCTGGCGCCTTAGCCGGTTGAGCTATAGGCGCCGAGCCCACAGGGGAGTTTTTTGGGGGGTGGTGTCAGCGATGGAGATCTTCTATAGCTTTACTATAGTGAGGTAGACACATAGTCTATACATGAGTTAAAACTGGCTTGGCACCTGTAGCTCAGTGGCTAGGGCACCGGCCACATACAGGTTCAAACCCAGCCCGGGCCTGCCAAATGACAATGACAACTACAACCAAAAAATAGCTGGTTGTTGTGGCGTGCGCCTGTAGTCCCAACTACTTGGGAGGCTGAGGCAAGAGAATCGTTTAAGCCCAAGAATTTGAGGTTGTCGTGAGCTGTGATGCCATGACACTCTACTGAGGGCAATATAGTGAAACTTTGTCTCAAAAAAAAAAAAAACTCATAGGTGTACACAACTATGCCTATTAATATTAATATATTAATATAGAACTACATACATTAAAAAGTTCAATTTACTATATGTTAATTTTGTCAACTTTTGAAAATTAAAAATAGTTCACTATAAAAGAAAAGAAACAAAAACACATGATTATAAAAGATGGGGAAAGAACAAGGAAGTGTGACAGGCTGAAGAAGACTAAAAAGAAACTGAATATAACTATGACCCTGGATTCGATCCTGGAGCAGAAAAGTGAAAGATTGTGCAGCAGGAGGTGACACTTGAATGGAGACTGTGGCTTGAACAGCCGTGGTCCATTGGTGCTAATTTCCCAATTCTGATGCTCCTACCATGGCCATGTAGGACACGCTCTTGTTTTGGAAAACACAGGGGTATTTAAGGATAATGGAGAATCATCTTTTCAACTTTCTCTCAGATGGTTCAGAAGAAGAATTATGGTAATCATCATATATATATATACACACACACATATACATATACATATTATATATACACACACACCCACACACATATACCTATAGAGGGTGCCAAAAAATGCATACACATTTTAAGAAAGGAAAAAACTGCAGTATTAAAATTGTAATATTCAATATATACTGGACAAATACAAAATGCTTTGAGCACCTCTTGTAATTTTTTTTTATATAGAATCTCCCTTTGTCACTATGGTTTTGTAGCTCAGCAGGCGTCCTCAAACTACAGCCCGTGGGCCACATGCAGCTGGCCTAGGACATTTATCTGGCCCACTGGGTGTTTTTGCTGCCACTGCCTGTCCTGCTTAGCAGCTGACTTGTCCCGGGGCCCGCAGTCCGGCCCTCCAACGGTCTGAGGGACAGTGAACTGGCCCCCTGTTTAAAAAGTTTGAGGACCCCTGGCTTACAGCAGCAACTTCAGTGTCTAGGGCTCAGATGATTCTCCTGCTTCAGCCTCCCAATTAGCTGGGACGATAGGCGCCTGCTATGATACACAGCTAGTTTTTTTATTTTTAGTAGAGACACGGTCTCGCTTTTGCTCAGGCTGGTCTTGAACTCCTAAACTCAAGCAGTCCACCCACCTCGGCCTCCCAGAGTGCTAGGATTGCAGGTGTGAGCCACCACCCCCAGCCCTCACCTCTTGTAATTGCAGAAGTCAAATGTGATTTGAGTATTGCAAATTTAGTATAGATTTTTTATTTCTTGAAATGTGTATACATTTTCTGGCACTCTCTGTATATATACATTCATTCATGAACTCACATATAAACACATACAAACACACACACACACCACTTACACACACACACACGACCTACTAAAGTCTACATCCTGATAAAACCTATTGTAAGTTGAAAATATCATAAGCCGAAATGGTACATAACCTACCAAACATCACAGCTTAGCCCAGCCTACCTTAAAACATGCTCAGGACACTTACATTAGCCTACAGTTGGTCAAAAGCACCTAACATAAAGTTTATTTTATAGTAAAATATTGAATATCTCAAGTAATTTATTGAAAACTTTACTGAAAGTAAGAAACACTACAGCTGCATGGGTCCTCAAAGCAAGGTTTCTGTATAGGAGCTGGGCACTCACACCTGTAATCCTCACATTTTGGGAGTCTGAGGCAGGAGGATCCCTTGAGCTCAGGAGTTCAAAACCAGCCTGAGCAAGAGAGAGACCCCATTTCTACTAAAAATAGAAAACCTAGCTGTGCATCATGTCAGGAGCTTATAGTCCCAGCTACTCTGGAGGCTGAAGCAAGAGAAACTCTTGAGCCCAAGAGTTTGAGGTTGCTGTGAGCTATAACACCATGGCACTCTACTCAGGGCAAAGAATGAGATAAAAAAACAAAAAACAAAACAAAATAAGGTTCCTATTGAATGTGTATGACCTTTGCGCCGTTGTCAAGTTGAAAAATTTTAGGTCAAAACACTAAGTTGTGGGCCAGCTGTATCATCATTTTGTGCATATGTATATTTATATTTACAGTTGCACCTCAGTAAGTTGACCACTGTAACAAACTGGTCAACACACAGAGGTGGTCAACATGAGGAACTAAGCCTGCTGTGCTGATGTGCACATATGGTGCATGTCCAGTCTATGACAATCAGGCCAACTTGGGGGGTCATGATGGGCAGCAAGATGACGTCTGCCTGCAGGGTGGTCCAGGTGGTCAAGCCTCACACTCCATTAATACAATTTCCTGACAGAAGAGACAATCCTAAACCCAATGTATCAGAAGCTTTGAGATCCGCAGGGCTACCGTCTCACTCTCCTGCAATTTCCCAGTATTCTAAGGGAAGTAAATCACCAGATTGGCTGATGTATCAGGGTCCACCAGACCCTGAAGAAATAATAAAAACATTACCTCAGAAATACAGAAGGGGGTTGGCGCCTGTGGCTCAAGTGGCTAAGGCACTGGCCACATACACCTAAGGTGGTGGGTTCAAATCCAGCCAGGGCCCACCAAACAACAATGACGGCTGCAACCAAAAAATTAACTGGGCGTTGTGGCGGGCGCCTGTGGTCCCAGCTACTTGGGAGGTGGAGGCAGGAGACTTGCTTGAGCCCAGGAGTTGGAGGTTGCTGTGAGCTGTGATGCTAAGGCACTCTACCCAGGGGGACAGCTTGAGGCTCTGTCTCAAAAAAAAAAAAAAAAAAAAAGAAGAAATACAAAAGGAAACTTTGTCTCAAGGAAAAATTGAATATATTCAAGGTGGAGGTCCAGAGTAAATCACTATGACTGCTGTTTGTCGTCAGACAAAAGAATTACCTTCACAATAAATGGCTTCTAAAATGGCTCAGCATCTGTAGCACAGTGGTTACAGCGCCAGCCATGTACACTGAGGGTGGTGGGTTTGAACCCAGCCCTGGCCTGCTAAAACAACAATGACAACTGCAACAAAAAATAGCCAGGCGTTGTGCCAGCTCCTTTAGTCCCAGTTACTTGGGAGGCTGAGGCAAGAGAATCACTTACACCCAAGAGTTGGAGGTTGCAGTGAGCTGTGACTCCATGACACTCTACCAAGGGCAACATAATGAGACTCTGTCTCCAAAAGGTAAAATAAATAAATGAAATGAAAAAGGAGAAATTGTATATTGAACAACTTTAATAAATATTGTGTTAAAAAAAGACATAGAAAGTTAAAAAAAAATAAAGCAGGTCAACTTAAGGAGGTGGTCAATGTAGGAAGGTTCTTTGGAGGTTCTACTGTCTACTCACACACACATATACACACATATATATGGTTGTCCCTCAATGTCTGGGCAGGGGCTGGTTCCAGGAGAATATCATGCACAGACACACACACACACACAGAGATACCAAAATGCATGGATGCTCAAGATCCTTATATAAAGTCGGTGTAATATTTACATAGAACCTTCACATATCCTCCTGTATACTCTAATCATCTCTAGGTTAATTATAATAACTAATACAATATAGATACTATGTAAATAGTTGTTATATACTACATTGTTTAAGGAACAATGACAAGGAGAAAAGTCTGTACATGTTCAGTACAGACGCAACCATTCATTTTTCCCCGAAAATATTTGTAATCCAAGATTGTGGAACCATGGATATGAAGGGCTGACTGAATACAGGGTGACCCTAAAGACACTATGAGGCAACTATTTTAAATTGCACACGAGGGCAGTGCCCATAGCTCAGTGGGTAGGGCGCCAGCCACATACGCCAAGGTTGGTGAGTTCGAACCCCGCCCAGGTCAGCTAAACAACAATGACAACTGCAACAACAATAAAAAAAAGCCAAGAGTTGTGGCAGGCACCTGTAGTCCCAGCTACTTGGGAGGCTGAGGAAAGAGAATTGCTTAAGCCCAAGAGTTTGAGGTTGCTGTGAGAGGTGACGCCACAGCACTCTACCCAGGGTGACAGCTTGAGACTCTGTCTCAAAAATAAACAAACAAACTGCACATGGACTTTATGGCCACTCTGTATACATGAGGGGAGAAGAGGTGGGATTTCTTTGTACCATTCTTGCAACTTATTATCTAAAAATCAAACAGTAAGGCTGGGCATGATGGCTCATGCCTGTAATCCCAGCACTCTGGGAGGCCAAGATGGATGGATTGCCTGAGCTCAGGAGTTTGAGACCAGCCTGAGCCAGAGCAAGACCCCATCTCTAAAAATAGCCAGGTGTTGTGCCAGGCACCTATAGTCCAGCTACCAGGGAGGCTGAGGCAAGAGAACTGTGCTGCACCCAAGCGATTGAGGTTGCTGTGAGCTATGATGCCAAGGCACTCTACCCAGGGCGACTAAGTGAAACTCTGTCTCAAGAAAAAGAAATAAATAAAAATCAAGCAATATTAGAGATGAATATCCCATCCAGAAAAATTCCAGATAAGTTGTGTAGCTACCCCACCTTCAAGTAGGTGGAGCCTAACTCCCCGTTCATTAAGTATGAACTGTGCATAGGGACTTCCTTTCAAAGAATACAGTACAGAAAGGGAGAGAAAAGAGTAGGTTTACAGAGGAGGAATTCGACAAACACTAACTCAGAAAAGTGATCAAAGTCACCACCAACAGTGACACATCATGTTAGATATGATGGAATAAAAATGGTACTTTAACCAGGTGGTCTTCCTCCCCCAAAGCCATAAACCCCGACTTTCCCAGATGTTGAGAAAAACATCAAAGAAATTTCGGTTGGTGGACAGTCTATAAAATACTTGGCCAATATTCTCAAAACTGTCAAGGTCATCAAAAAACAAGGAAAATCTGAGAAACTGTCATCACCAAGAGGAGCCTAGGAAGACATAGGGACTAAATATAATACACTGTCTCAGATGAGGTCCTGGAACAGAAAAAGGAACTTTGACAAAATTTGAATAAAGTATGGATTTCAGTTAATAATAATAATGTATCAATAATGCTGCTTCATTGATTGTAACAAATGTACTACACTAAAAAGTTAACAGTTGGGGAAATTTGGCATGGGATATTGGAAACCCTCTATAGTGTCTTCACACTTTTTCTATAAATTTAAAATTATTCTTAGTCCATTCAGACTGCTAAAACAAGTATCATAAGCTGGGTGGCTTATAAACAACAAACATTTGTTTTCCACAGCACTGGAGGCTGGAAAGTCCAAGGTCAAGGCAGCAGCAGATTCAGTGTCTGGGTGATGACCCACCTCCTGGTTCACAGAGGCCTTCTTTTTGCTAGAACCTCACATGGCAGACAGGGTCCTCTTTTATAAGGACACTAATCCCATTCTTGGGGGTACCAGCCACATGACCTAATCACCTTCCAAAGGCCCCACTGCCTAACACTATCAATCACCTTGGGGTTAGGATTTCAACATATGAATTTTAGAGTAACACAAACATTCAGACCATAGCATGTTTTGAAAAATAATAAAGCTTATTAAAAAAATCTAGTCAGTTCAGTAAGGAAGATTTGGGCATGAATTTGATGTGAGGTCAGTAAAAAATGAGGCTGAGGCAAATGCTTGCTTTTTGGCTTGGGGAACAGGGAGGTTGGAGGGACTCTTAGATAAGGCAGGAAACAGTGGGTAGCTGAGGAGTACAGGTGGAGATCTTTGATGAGGGGCTGTACTTTTTTTTTATTTTTTGAGACAAAGTCTCATTCCATGCCCTGGGTAGAATGTCATGGTGTCATCATAGCTCACAACAACCTCAAACTCTTGGGCTCAAGTGATCCTCTTGCCTCAGCCTGCTGAGTAGCTGGGACTACAGGTGCCCACCATGACACCCGGCTAGTTTTTCTTTTTTTAGTAGAGACGGGGTCTCACTCTTCCTCAGCCTGATCTAAAACTTCTGAGCTAAAATAATCCATCCACCTTTGCCTCCCAGATTGCTAGGATTGCAGGTATGAGCCACCGTGCCCAGCCAAGGGGCTATGCTGTTAAGGGGAAGTTGGGCACTCGAGTGGTGACGATGAGGAGCTGCCCTGGGAGGAATGTGTCATGTGAGAAGAGTAGAACAGCCTTGCTAGTTGTCCACCCATTCTCTCTCTCTTCCTGATGACTGGAACCCTGATTTATTGTGGTCCCCACCCTCCCCCATGTGACTAGGGGAGAGTCACCCTCTCCTGGGTTCCAAGGGTAAATGCTGCATGGCTTTAGATACTTGCAGGGATTATTAGTCTTTTGTTTTTTTTTTTTTTT